TTGAATTTTGCAAACCATTTCCGTGCTGTCGACTCACCTATGACACCTTCTCCGTATATATTGCAAATATCCCGGCCTGTTTCAGCAACTATTCACAACTTTTCATAACTTTTTCGCCGCGATGGAAAGTGAAAAAGAGCAGGTGTCGAAAGTGCAAATTTTTATCTCCTGGATATTCTATTTCTGAGCCTCAATAGTAATAACGAATGAAACTACTGAAAAAAAACGATTAACACAGTTTTGTAGAGCAGAAAGAGCTCTATCGAATGAATATTATAATCTCTTGCAAATTGCAAAATGTCGCTGTAAAAAAAAGAAAATGTCAAAACGCCACGAACTTATTCCCCAAACTAATATTTACAAATGTGGGAATTTATAAAATTATTAAAATTAAGTAATGTACTAATATATTTAACTTCTTTAACAAATTCAAAGAATTGAGTTCTGACACACTACAATTCTTCAAGATCTTAAAAAAATGATAAGATGTACGTATTATATTATAATAAATTATCTTTCGTTTAAATTAATAGGTATTATAGTAAATTATTCAGTCTTTGATTTTTTAATGTACAAACATTATATGAAATGTATATACAAACTTTATTTATGAAGATAGTAGTGTAATAAAAATTTGTGGAGAATGTTTCACGAGCACTTTTCAGTAATGCTTGAAATGACTTAGGATTTCGTTGCATATCTTTTTATTCTCATGTCATGACATTAATCTATTATGGCCATCGAATTAAGGTATAATATATTCATCAGAGGATAGAATAATATTTCATAACAATTCATATAAAAGGTTACTGCGAATCGATCATCTATTTTATTTATCTGAATACCAGTTCGATGGCCAACGACTGTCGTCAATTTTTCTATGCATTACTAATATTGCTTTCAAAGTATTTACATCAATTTTCTGGCAGTGAAAAGTTGAAGAAGAAAGGCATATGTACAGAGTGTTACCTGTAACGCTACTCACGATTTTTCTCCCACTTGCAGCCACTTTACGAAAAAATGTTTGCAACAATATTTGCAGGGTATGAAGTGCACAATAGATATTAGTAAAGCAAATTTTGAAATCAGTTTGTTCTCTTCGCAAAGTCAAGAAACATACATTTTTTTTATTCATAGCTTTAGAGGACATCGAGATGAATTCAAAACATATATTACATGATATTTTTATTAACATATTACTCGATTTACAAAAGTGGAAATGTGAAGTACTTAGCTTTTGACTTTGGTAGTGTAACCATTATTTGATTCTAAAGAGATTACTGAATGTAAACACGCGACTAGAATGTAAGTAAAATACACTTTATTTAATTACATCTCCAAAATGTATGCCGCCTTCCATCGCGTAACATTCCGGCCTTTCACTTCACATTTCCATTTCTGTAAATCGAGAAATATGTTAATAAAAATATCATGTAATATATGTTTTGAATTCATCTCGATGTCCTCTAAAGCTATGAATAAAAAAAATGTATGTTCCCATTTAAAAAACCCAAGGTGACCTTGCCTTTGCGAAGAAAACAAACTGTTTTCAAAATTTGCTTTACTAATATCTACTGTGCACTTCATACCCTGCAAATATTGTTCCAAACTTTTTTCGTAAAGTGGCTGCAAGTGGGAAAAAAATCGTGAGTAGCGTTACAGGTAACACCATGTATATTGAAATACTGTACAAAATATATTTTACGAATATACATATAATACAGAAATAATTAGTGCAAATAACTTATGAAGAAATGACAAACTATTTATTACAAAAAAATAGAAATGAATGTGTTGCAGAGAAAGGACAAAGTGTTATATTTATTAGAAGTAAATTACCGGTGAATGTATGGCAGGGAAGGAACAAAATATTTATCCGTCCTTATTATAGATTACAAGTAAATAACAAATATTTCTTATAAATAAGGTAGAAATAAATGACAGATAAATGTACAGGTATAAAGGATTGTTTGACTGAACGCCATACTTGTGCGCTAACAAGGGACATCACCAAAGTGTTACACGCTGATTTTAATGAAATTTACATACGTGGTAGCTTTCCAAAAATCATTTGACACGTATTTTTTTATATCTGCTGAGATGCATGTTGCGGGGGTGAAAATAGCCTTCAAAGTTGGGGTTGAAAACACATTTTCTTCAATCTTAGAAACCGGAGAGTGTAGGAAGCTGAATTTTTCTTTAAATTGTGTAGGTTTAAGTCAGGAAGGTTTTAGTCATTACGCAAAATTTTGGGGGAAATTATTTATTTAAATAATATATTAAAAAATTTGACTTTTTTTCAATTTTTCACCCTAAGTACAGTTCAACTTTTTTGCAGATTTGTATACGAAAAATATGGATCAAAATAGGGGACACGTGTTTTTGAAATTTTTTGTTTATTGCAATTTAGCAATAATTGTACATATACAATTTTTTCCTACCTTTTACGGAAAAATGAGTTGAGATTTGTTTTCGAAGAGGGTAAACCCTTTTTAATTTGTCACGTTTTTAACAATTGGACAATATCACATGTTTATTATTCCATCGGTAGCCACGGAAGGTTCAGCGGGCAATTTAATAATAATAGATAAAATAAGTATATAAGTATATACAGGGTGTCTCACAATTAGTGTAGATCCCTGAAATGGGGGGTAGCTAACGTGATTCTAAGCAAGATTTCCCTTTGCAAAAATAGGATTTGAAGCTTCGTTTTTGAATTATTAAGGAAAAACACGGACCAATCAGAACGCGAGGATTACGTGTGCGCAGACGTGGGAGTGACAGCTCCGCATAACACGTAGTTATCCAACGCGTAGTAGTGCAACGCGTAGTAATGCAACGCGTAGTAATACAGCGCGTAGTAAACCAACGCGTAGTAATACAACGCGTAGTAATACAGCGTGTGAATATCCAACGTGTAGTAATCTAGCGCGAGCATATTCAACGCGTAGTAATTCAACGCGTAGTAATGCAACGTGTGGTAATTCTAAGTGTAGGAATCTGATGCGTGGTAATCTAAACCGTAATAATCCAATGTGTGGATATCCAACGCGTAGTAATCCAGAGCGTGGATATTCAACGCGTAGTAGTCCAACGCGTAGTAATGCAACGCGTGGTAATTCTAAGCGTAGGAATCTGAAGCGTGGTAATGTAACGCGTAGTTAACCAACGCGTAGTAATCCAACGCATAATAATTCAATACGTAATAATTCTCGCGCTCTGATTGGTCCGTGTTTTTCCTTAATAATTCAAAAACGAAGCGTCAAACCCCATTTTTGCAAAGGGAAATGTTGCTTAGAATCACGTCAGCTACCCCCCATTTCAGGGACCTACACTAACTGTGAGGCACCCTGTATATAAGAACTTCGGTGCCATGTATGTGATAATGTAACTATTATTACTTATCCTTAAAATCGAAAGTTATAAAATCATAAAATGAAGTTATTGGAATCAATTATGTTTGAAATATCAAAAGGATATCAGTATTGTCACGACTATTTAACTCAAATTATTCATCATATACTAACGCTAATAATTTAATTTGTCCCCTATAAAATATCTAAAATTTCGAGTATTTTATACCATGCGGTATAAAATGAACGAAGTTAATAATTATATATTGCGGAAAAAATTATTTTTCACTCGTGTTTATAAATAACATTGATAGTGTACTATTCCATATGTTTCGATTTAGTATCACACGATGAGTCAGCTGCTGCGTACAGGATATAAAGAATACGAATCTGAGGAATTCTACGACACAATTTCATAAATATTTATGTCAGTAGATTGAGAATGAAGTGCTCGTTCTTGTCACCATGCAAATTTAAATAAGTTGTAAAATAAAGGCATAAAAAAATAATTTGTTGAAAACAAGTTGTAGTTTGACCAATTTGTTTATGTCTTGCTGTGAAAAGACCGTAAACCTTTTCCATTAAAGACTTTCACGCATCTTCGTTGGTTTTCGAGATAGTACTTGTGCGTCGAAACTTTGAAGCGTGGTTTCAGCCCTTAAACTCTAACAATAAGGTAAAAAAAATACGTCCCTTATTTTTTTTTATTTAACGTACAAAATTTCATTAAAACCAAAGGAAGATACTTTTATGCCTTTCTTAGTTAGAACAAAATATATTTTATATAATACAAATTTATTAATAATAGGAGTATAAGAGTGTGATGGACCAAATGGAAATAGACATAGCGTTGAAATGACTCAAGATCAAAAAGATCTCTCAGAAAGAACTGCCATAGATTCCTTTTAGAGTATCACATCGAAAGTTTATCTCCAGTTTACTCGATTTCCACATAGATATTTAAATTAGTTTTATTATTTCCCCTCTCTGAAAGTAGTTTCTTTTTCATTGCATAAATAAAAATGATTAACGAAAATGTATAATATCATTGAAATTTTGAATAAAAATGGATTGTTTTTTGTTATGTTATATTTCCTAAATTTCCTTTATTTTACTTTTATTTTTTGTCAAATGAATTAATATTTATATAAAATTGTACATTAATTTGTTTTAATATTAACCTTAGATTAACAGATGTTTAATGACCATTTATATTTCAATTGAAACTAAATTATAAAAATAAATAAATACATAAACTAGCTTATACAAGACTTTTTATATCGATGAAGGTTAACATATATTTTGATAAAAGATTAATAATTTTTATAATTGGAAATAGGAAGTCTAAGATTCGTGACGAGTTCCGTAAATGTAGTTTTAAAAAAGGTTGCCATATCGAAAATATTTTCCGTTTAATTAACGATTACAATAATTAATTAATTTTTGAAAGTAGAGCAAGTCCGCTTGGGTATAATAAAATCTTCATATTTTTAATTAGCTTAACACGTTTATCGCCATATCACCCACATTCAGATAAATTAATATTTGATTTAAACTTATCTCAAAAAACTTTAATTATTCAACGATAAATGATATCGTTAAATTCTGTTCGGCATATCTAGTAAAAGTAGTTAAATATTGTCAGAGCAATCGAAGTTTGTTGAGAAAATTACCATCAATTAGCATTTTTAACAAATATAAACGTTGAAAGTATAAAACACTTCTGGTTAATTATCATTCATTATTTAGCACTAAAAGATATAAGGATTTTGTCTATTAGCATTCATCCAAGTTTTTAAATTTATTTATAATAAATGCAAACCCTTAAATATCTCGCGACATAAAGTGGTTTTGCACCACTTTCAAAATAAAACGGTCCAATTACACAAAACTAGTATTACTACATTTTGAGTAATTTTATTACTACATTTTGATTACTATGAACGTATGTATGTATATTATTGCATTGTCATCCATTTTAATCTATGTCAAAAGTTTCCAGTCTCTAATCGGTAACTTATTTCGAAATTGTTATCAAACGTACAAGAAACCGAGTTAAAGCGTTTAAAAAATAAGAAAAAATTCCACTGTTAACCCTATTAACTGTGGTTTATGAATCATATGCTAAAATTATAACTAGAATAATATTAAGTTTTTGTTAATATCATGTAGCGACTCTAACCATTAGAAGTGAAATAAATATATTGTTAATAATTCCATTGTTAACCTTTGTTAACTGTGGTTTATGAACCATGTGCTAAAATTCTGACCAAAATATTAATAACAAGTTTTTGCTGATATCAAATATTGACTCTAACCGTTAGAAGTGCAATAAATACATTGTTAATAATTCCATTGTTAACCCTTGTTAACTGTAGTTTATGAAAAACATGCTAAAATTATAACCAGAATAATAACAAGTTTTTGCTAATAGCGATTCTAACCGTTAAATAAATACAAAAACAATGCAAACCTTTATATATCGCAATAAAAAAAATAGATTTGCCCCGCTTTCAAAATAAACTTGCAATATCGATGTTTGACTTGAAAGGTATCGATACTGTGTGGTCAATCGCTGGACCAAAATGAGAGGAAGAGACTGATTGCACTTAACTCGCTCGGCGCGTCGCGGAGGTGCCCGAGAACGTGCGCGCGCGCGCGCGCCTATCGACCAGATCCTCCGGTCTCTCCTCCTCTCTGTTCGACCTCGGTGTCGACGGTTTATGCATTTCGTTAGAATCCCAGCCACGGCAACGCCTCGACGCAGCCTGGAACGTCTTCCGGGGATCGGGGAACTGGCCGGTCCCCACGTGGCCACGTGCGAATCATGAGAATCAAGAAACTGCACGATATCCCACGATTGTATTCTTTCTGTGATTCAACCCGCTCCGAACGGTGTCCATTACCGAAGGAAGTCGATCAAACGTGTTCCGGAAACTGACTCCGGAGCATCCCCGGCGCCTGGGGCTGCCCAGAGACTTCCACAGTGAAACACGGAGATCGAGTGTGAGTGAGGATCCTGGAGAAGTCCTCGGGTTTGTGGACTCCACGATGTTTGGTAAAAACGCGTCGGGAGTGCACCTGTGTGCATAATCGAAAGCCTAAAAGACTGTGGTCACGTAACAGGTCGCGGGGTGCGTCAAATTTGACCCGTTTTCGAAGATGGATCGTTAAGAATGAGGGAGGCAGGGAGGATGAGATAGACACGAAATTTGCAGCCACCTAGCGTTACGTTAAAATGCATCGAAACGACAGAGTGGTTGCGTTAAAGTGCTCCGAATTGAAACCTTCCTGACACTCATGAGCGTCGAATCAGGGCGTTCTATGCGTTAAAGTGTGTCAAATTGAGGGCCACATACAAGTTCCAAGCACCGCACTGTGCAGTTTCTGTTCGAAGTCTTGACAATAATCGGACGACCTAGGATCGAGGATCCAGTTTCAAGGACAACGAACGTTTTTCATTCAGCGAATAACGACGGCCTGGTGATTAACGACGAAAGAGATTTGAGACAGGAAGTACTACAGATTCAGTGGTCACGTGGACAGCTTCTGGGAAAGCTTCTATCTAGAGTTTCGCAGCGATATAACGTGTTCTGGAGTGGATATTTGGGGAAGGATGCCAGGATTTGAGGCACTCTGCAACGAGACTGACGATGAAAGCAGAGAAAAGAGGATTGAAGAAACCCAACATTGGTGAGTGGACAGGTTTTTGGTTTATTAATAATTGAGAGTGACGAAAATGTAAAGGGTGTTTCAAAAGTGAAACTTAAATACGTTTGAATTATTTAAAAGGTGATGATGGCTGAATGTAAGTTTTGGGGCATTTCTTGTTTTAGAAAGATCGATTAGAAATTGTATCACGATAGATCGATGGATCATTTTTAACTCTATAATTTTTAGTATACACGCTTTCGATGTAGATTTTTATGTTGAATGTTGGCTAATCATAGTGTACTGACGACTGTATTGGCGAAATGGAGTAATTGCGTGTACCCGCGTTTAGGGAGCACCAGCTCTTTAATTTGCGAATATGCGATCTTAGAAATATAGAAATCCAATTTTTGAATTTAGAAGTCTATTAATTTTTGACTTTTAGAAATTTTCAAACTGCCCTATTTCCGAATTTCTGAGTTCCTATGTTTCAGAATTAAAAAATTTGTTAATTTACAAATTTTTTTATTTTGAATTTTAAAAATTTTCACAACTCAAATGTTTGTACTTCTAAATTCTCAAATTTGCAAATTTATGAAATTCCAGCTTTCATAATTCACAAAATTCTTAAGTCTCAAAGTTACAAATTTTAAACTTTTGTATTTTCAAATTCATAAATCACTAAATTCTTATATTTTCAAAACCACGAATCATAAAGTGTTTAATCTTCAAAAATTGCAATTTCTTAAACTCACAAATTTCTAAATTCTTAAACTCTTAAATTTTCAAATTCCTATAATTTTTAAACATTTCCAATTTTTCTAAATTTCTCAAATTTTCTACATTCATTTCTAAATTAGAATTAAAATTTTTAATTCCCTAATTTTCAAATTAGTTTGCAAATTTTTTATTTACAAATCCCCAATTTCCAAAATCCTAAAGTTTTCGCACTCCGTTTTTCGCATTTGCCTAATTTCAAAATTCTCATATTGTTATAAATTCCCAAATTAACCAAATTTTCAAAATTCTTCCAAATTGCTAATTTCTCTAATTCTCTTACATCATAATTTCCCAATTTTTCAATTTCCAAATTCCCAAATCCATAAATGTTCAAGCGCCATTTTTTACATTTCCGAAATTTCCAAATTCCTAAATTTGTATAATTCCTAACATCACGAAAATTTCCAAATTCCGAAAATCACAAAAATTTCCCAAATTCCTAAAATCACCCAATTTTTCTAAATTCCTAAAATCACCCAATTTTCCCAAATTCCTAAAATCACAAATATTTCCAAATTCCTAAAATCACAAAAATTTCCCAAATTTCTAAAAATCTTTAAATTCCTTAATTCTCTAAATTTACAATCTCCTCATCCACAAATCTTCAAGTTCCCAATATAAAAATTTCCAGATCCACAAATTTTCAAACACCATTGCATTTCCAAAATTCCCAAGTTTCTAATTATAAAAGTATCGAAATTTTTAAATTCGTTATCTAATATGATAGCACGGTTAAGCTGCACTCGGCCTATTTTCACTCGCACATCTGTTAAAATGCTTCATAAGATCAATGAGTTCATTAACCGTTGTTATTGTTATTGTTGATGTCAACGCATTATCGTATTCTGTGTTACAGTTCGACGGAAGACCAAAGATCTGTTAAACGCATGTTACCACCACCAAGACCGATCGTAAAGGGGGATCGATGGTTACGGTAGTAGCAGTATCTTTGATTCTGATAAAATTCGTAAATCGGGCGATGCAATATACTGGTTTTCGTGGTATCTTTCAATTACTCGAAACTGGTTGACAAGGAAGGTTCCTTTGGCATGTGCGATTACTCTCAAGACAAGGTAATTATCGATCATTTACGTACAATTGCATTTTTCTTATCGATAGCGTCCACGAGTGCATTCGACCTAGTTAAAACAAATCATTAAACATTATGTCAATATTATATAAAATGGCATAGTCAAAAAAAGCAAAAATAAGATTAACGATCTCATGAGTGGATACTTAACTTTTTACTTACGGAAAGTGTATACATATACCCCAGGGTGACTCAAACAAATTTTTGTTGTGAAAACAAAATGTGGTGAACACCCGCTAAAAAGTTAGTATATAATGCAAAAAGTCCTCTCAAAATATAAACACAAATATTCATATTTAATTGATCAAGAAAATTTAAAAGTTTACAAAATAACATTTTTTAATCAATTTTTTATTATTATTATTTTAAATATACTTTTATGTATTTTATTTAAGTCCTAGAGTTTTTTCTGTCAAATAATCATTTTTATTATATGATGGATATTCTTTTCAGCGATGCAATGTTTGCAATAAATATTGCAACTGACCCTTGGTTTTAGTTAACCATTTATTTAATTCTTTTGTCAATGCTTTGTCCGCTGTGTTAACAACTTGCAAATTTTTACTTCTTGACAATTGTTATAATTATACAATTCTTTTATCTAAAATCAATCAATAAAGAGGCAAATCGAGGAAATCATGAAGAAATTCGATTTATTCAAATAAAATCATTTTTTTTAAGATCTATATTAGGATTAAAATCTTTTGATTTAAATTTTATATAATCATTCAGATCTTTTGTACAGAATGAATGAATAATTACCAGCAGGTAATATCAAAACTTTGAACGATTATCAAATACTATTAATTAATTAACCTCATTAATTGACTTTTCAACTATGGAAATATGGTTAAATTAACTAATTAACATTTCTGTGAGACTTAATACTCACATTTTTGTATAATTTTATCGTAATAACATCTATAATCCCTTTAATTGCAGTTGAAAGCGATAAGATAAAAAATTAATATGCAGACAAAAAATTGCGTTTAGCGATCTCTCAAGTTTAAATTTTCGAACTCAACCTTTGAGAGGATTGTTTTTAAGTCATGTTCTAAATTTTTAAAGAGTGAACATATTAAATATTTTGAGCTCCTCTATTATATTGCCCTCTAAATTTCTCCTACTGTAACCTATTTAATATTTTATTAAACACTAACAACGAATATAACAATCTGCATTTCATGTAACAACTCATTGTAGCAGCTGTAAATAAGCCAATATCGACAAATGTTTTTTTATTTTATAATCACAAACATTTCACTACATATAAATTACCATGCAAAAGTACGGATGAAATAAAAATATATTCGTTAAAAAATTGACATTTTTTATAGACATGCAAATTTTTTTTACAGAAAATAGCGATCATTCGTTGTTTATTCCTCTGAGTTCTTAGATAAGTCATTTTTTAAATGCAACATTAAATATTTACCGAAAACCATTTATTGATTATCATATTTTATGAACGTATAAATGGAAATTAATATGTTCCTGCTATTATGCTGTTAATTACTCCGTTATAACTGTACTGTTAATTGCTCTATAACAATTACACGGTTAATTACACTATTATAATTATACTGTTAATTATTTACTTCCGCAATTCCTCGCTGATTTTGATAACCTTGAAACACGAAATATGGTAGAACATTTCAATTCGTCATCCAACATTGTAGATAATATTATTATTTTTTTATTATTTTAACATTTTACGATTTTCATCATTCTTTTTGTACTTTTCCATTGTGCAAATCTGCCATTTTGTTATTTCGTTACGCTACTACTAATTGATTGTTCCACTATGTCACTATAATATTACATTACTGTTCTATTATTTGTTTTTAACAATTATTATTTGTTTTTCGCTACTTCATCTATCATTTCGTTGTCTTACTATTTTATTCAAGCTTTCGTACTTCTAATATAGAAAATAAAAATCAATGTAAATTACATAAATATTAATATTCTCAGAATTATACACTATTCTGCAAAAATGCATAAAAAATGGAATTCTGTAAAAAAAATGTTTTGAAATTACTTTTTATAAAAACAAAACATTTTGTAAAATAGACAAATATTTGTCGAATATGCGATTTTGTAAAAATCCTTTTATGATTGTATCTTTCAAGAAAAACAAATAAAGAACAAAAAGTTTCCAATCTAAATTAAATATTTATATTTGCTAACACTGAGACGATAAGTTTCAACGAAACATGTACTTTAGTTGCAGTGGGCGGAAATACCGAATACTCGATTATTCTTATCATTCTCCACTTCAGACAATAAAAGAGTGACTAAACCTGACGATATCAAATTTTTGTACCAGATCTTGAAAATCGATTAAACAGTAATTTTCAATTAGCACAACAATTATTTGTTACGATACAAAAATATTTATAATTGATTCTCCAATCGTGGTTTAATTAAAAAATTTAACAAAATGTTCATTAAGGAATCTTCCTATTATGACAGTTTTAAAATATTGATGTTTTGGAAATTTTTTAATTCTATTAGAAAAATTGTAAATATCAATGAAATTATTGAAAATGGACTGTGAATTCTGTTTATTAAAAGATTGCATTTTTTTATAAACAGGATGTTTGTATAAGAACATATCTCAAATATAGATAAAAGTGTTGTTACAATTACTCATAACCTTTAGGAATTCGAGTAAATGATATAGAATATATATTCCATAATTAGTTTTCTAAATTATACCAAATTTTATTAGTAATTGCTATTACTATTAATTTCCTTTCGTTGTTAATTTAAATACCTGCTTTTATTTTCTGCATTGTATTTTTGAATTGTGTTCATCGTAATTTTGTTCAAACTACTATTGCTTGCATCTTAGCATATTTAATAAATACCACAATAAGTCATAAGTTTAACACGTTTAAATATAATATATTTAATATTATACTTTTAGGTGTTAAGCCGTTATAAAATACAAAGTTAATTATTGCAGAGATCCCTTAATCAGTAAATCTAATTTCATATATTGTTTATTTTTTATTATTTATTGAGAACTTAAATCTCACAGTAATTCAAAGTTTATTATGTGTACACAAAGCAAACAATATGTTTAACACTAAACCTACCGGCATATAATGCACTTAATTTGAAATTAAAAATGAAGTTAAAAAATAAATAAACAAACGACGAAGCATAAATTAGTACACACGTCTATTCTTTATCTTGATGAAAATCGATGCTAATTTCAAGGAATGTACTTTACTAAAATGTGTATCTTATAATAAGAAACTTGTGGAGCGGTTATTTGACTGGTTTGGTAGTTCTAGTGTTAATAAACTAACCTGACAATAAATTTATTTATACAGTATTTTCTCGTCATTGTCGTTACCTAGTGACAATGTTTTTATAATAATATATAAAATATTGAGATTGTGCTATACAATAACAGTACATAACATGATAGCGTATTTGAATACGATTAATTACTTATTTAATAAAAGAACTGTTTAAGAACTTGAATAGCTAAATTTATTGATTTCATAAGTAAAGACTACGTTTTCAACTAATGAACTTAACTCAAATTATGATGACTTAATTATAAATAAATTGTTGTTAATTCGTTGTTTTCCTGCAGGTAGTGATTCGTGGCGGCAAAAAGGCGCTGGACGATAAGCGCGGCGTTTTCAATTTTGAACTCGACAGCAAGATATACAAGAGTCGATTACGATTAAGAAGATGGTTAATAGGTCTTTTGATCTTCCTGTTCGTCTCATTGATCGTTATAAACACATACAATACGGACCAATTTCGAGCTGTGCGATATGGAACAATCTTAAACGACACCCTTCAAGGTATTTATTTAAACTCAGAATCTACTTCGTCTCAAAAACACAACCATAAACTTAAATAGTAAAAAATTTGTTTATTTATTTATTGACAGGTTAAACGTTTAGTTGCCACGGTTTTCAAGGTTTCCTCTTCATGTCATAAATTGATGTGGGTAGGTCGGTAAGTATACAATTTTCCAAAAATCAGTCACAATATAAGAACAGTTCTTTTGTATATATCCGAATAAATGTATATACATCACTTTTACTGATTTTACACATGGTGTACATATATCAAAATAAAAATACAGTTTCTGAGTAAAACGTTGTATATAAATAATTGTATATATAAACCAAAAAGTAAATATTAAAATATTCTGCATTGTTACAATTACTTCGTTCGAAACATTATTGTATTACGTTTTTATAGGGCATCTCGATAAAAGATATACACACTTTGAATATTAATATCAAATGACATTGATATTGATGACAATCAATTTAAAGTCGTCAATATAATAGTTTAATAATATATTCAAATAATTTATTTCAATATCTACTTTACTAATTTACTTATTAAGTTATAACAAAGTGTGCATACATTTTATTCAGACACCCGGTATATTTATTAATACATTTCCTAGTAAATGTACATATCAAGCACATAACCTACACAAATGTAAATACGTTGACTAATAAATGTACATTTATTGAATTAACGCTGTGACATGTATAAAAGATAACTGTGTATACACATAGTTTTGTGACTGCTTTTTGAAAAATCACATTTGCCGACGTACCCAAGTTACCTCAAACCAAAGGTCACATTTGAACTAAACGATCCTTATCATTACAATTACGTTTATCAGGTTGCAGTTCTACAGGCGCTCAAACAAGAAACTAATTTGATAAACAAATACAGATACACTCTGCTACTTTAAAGTCTTATAGAATTTTTATCATTTAATATTTAAACTGCATTATTGTATAAAATACCTGTTCTATGTTTTAACGATTTCATAATTTTAGCCTAGATTTATATCCTTCCCTTATACCAATGTACAGAACTAATGTTACAAAGATTTTCTATTATTGTGCGTTTATTTATTATTTATAGCGCCTAACTGGTGTACCAGAATTTAAAATTTAATGAGTATAATTGACTTTGACATTTTACATTTTCCCAGAAAAGTTGGATAATTCTGGCTTCCTAGTCCGCAACAAGGGTTGTCGAATCCCAGCCATGGATCCTTACGATTCAGCGATCAAACGTTTTATCCGGAAGGAGGAACCAATCTCTTGCGAGCATGGGGACCATTTACCATTGGTCGAATCAAACGACACAGCGTTGTTCGTGAATCCAGCAGCGATAAATCATTTTTACAACAAATCAGAGGAGGTCGATTGCTGTTGGCGTCCATTTTGGCGAACGAAGGACGAGGATAATGCTGTTACGTCAGTAAGACTGATAGCTTTTATTCGTTGCTTCAGATCACCAAGTCCCATTATATCTCTCTTTATATGGTCAAACGAAAAAATCTAACAATAAGCTCCAGAAACAATCACATTCTCTTCGCCAATGAAATTTGAAATATCTTCCATTTGTAGGTACGATAACGAATGCTTCAAGTTCCAAAATTCCACGGAAATCAGCACCGAATTCGTGAAGGTCGAATGTTCCCGAAACAACGAGGTGATATACAAAGATTACCACGTGTTCTTGCCCCGTCTATCTACGACAGAAAAAAGATGCGAGAAAGCGAAAGCTGCCAACCCGAAGAGAGATTTTCTTAACCTGTTGATCGTCGGCATCGATTCGGTCTCGAGGATAAACTTCCATAGAATGATGCCACATACCGTGCAGGCCTTGCAAAGCCTCGGTGCTGTCGAGATGCTGGGTTACACCAAGGTGGCTGACAATACGTACCCAAATTTGGTACCCGTGTTAACCGGCTTGACTGAAGGTGAACTTCACGACCTATGCTGGCAAACCAAACACAAAACCTTCGACGACTGCCCATTCATCTGGAAGAATTTCAGCGCAGCCGGTTATCGGACAGCGTTTGGCGAAGATGCATGTAGTATAACAACGTTCAACTACCTGAAACCGGGCTTCCGTGTTCCGCCAACGGACTACTATCTGAGACCCTTCTGCATCGCCTCCGAAAAGGACATCGGCAACACGCACAAACTGAACGCTAATCTGTGTGTGGGCACCAGAAAGTCTTTCGACAACTTGCTGCACTACGCTCGAAAAACGGCTTCACGGTTCTCTAGGGACCCTTATTTCGCCTTGATCTGGCAGTCCAGCTTGACTCATGATTTCTTCAACTATCCACAGCTAGGCGACCAGTCCTACTACAACCTGGTCGTCTATCTGTCCAGCCAACAGTTGCTGAACCAAACAGCGTTGATAGTGATGAGCGATCATGGAATGAGATGGGGCGACTTTCGGGAGACTTATCAAGGCAGAATGGAGGACAGTCTTCCGTTCGTGTTCATCGTACTGCCAGCCTGGTGGAGAGAGAAGTACCAAGTAGCCTGGGCCAACCTGCGCAGAAATGCACGAAGTTTGACAACAGCGTTCGACCTTCACGAGACCTTGATGGACCTGTTGTATTCAGAGAACCTGGAAGAGTCGCGGTTAAAAAGCCGTTTTCAGGCAATGCCGAAGGAAAACGATCTACCCCGCGGGATAAGCTGGTTTTTGCCGATTCCTGATTATCGAACGTGCAACATGGCGGGTATAGCCAGTCACTGGTGCATGTGTCACGACAGCATAGATGTGGCTTTGAACGAGGGGAGTCTTATGGATAAGGCTGTGTTCTTGATCTCGGAGCTGAACAAGATGTTGAAGAAATTCACGCAGTGTGCAGTGCTGAAACTGAAAGAAATTAAAGCGGCGAAGGAATGGAGGAACAAGGGCAATGGGTCGGAACTCGTTGACTATACGATTACGCTTCAAACGGAACCTGGTAACGCGATATTCGAGGGCACCATACGACATAGAAGCAGCGATAAGAGTAACAAACTGGTGGGATCGGTCAGCAGATTAAATGCATACGGGAAACAGAGCGCTTGTATTGACGAATACAATATGAGACTGTATTGTTACTGCCTCTAGAATCTAGGCTCTGGAACCTAAGGTCTAGGTTGATTTTCATATTTTTCTGAAATGATCTGAATCTTGATGGCCTCAAATGGAATTGTTATGACAGACAGCATGTGAAGGGAATCACACTGTGATAAGGTTCTTTTCTTTAAAGGTTTCATGCTTAACAAGTACAGCGTCTAATGCTAATACGTGTATACTGAAACAATGTTACGTATTTAATCGCGTGCGTGCGTGCATGTATGTGTATGTATGCATGTATGTATATGTTTAGTCCACTGTGAGATACATGTTTTTAAATCGTTACCTGATATGATTTGTGGAAGACAGATAAGCAACTGCCACTTAAAAAACTGATGAGACTTGCTTTTTGTGTGAAACCTTTTAAAAAATAAAATTAATGTGATAAAAGGGAATTTCGTTTTTGTGAATATCTGTCTTCAAAAACGTGCAATTTTATATATGCTGTGGTGCAATATGTTAGCGCCGAGCAAATGGAACACTTGCCCTAAGATACATGCTAGAGGAGTTACATTTTGTAAAAATTAAATGAAGCAATTTGTGCTATGTTTATCTTTAATTTATAAGAAGAGTATGTTATTAGAAAAACATTAGCAGACTTACGAGTAAGCTGAGTGGATTGTATTAATCAAATTTGAGTGAATATTGTGTTTGACTTCGATTTTGTTGAGATTTTGTTAATATAACAGCATTGAATAGCATTAAAAATTTGTTATACAATGTATGATTATATTTATATATATTATTTTTTGAATGCATGAATTTCTGAAACTAAGAATTCATGTTTCTAGAACAGTTTCCAAAGTCTGAACAAATTTTACTTCATAATATTAGTATAAATTTTCCATCAAGCCTAAGCATGTTACATATAAAAAAGTAAACATATCTGTTTCCAATTAGATATTTTCAATGACATCGACTTTCACCCTATGTCCTGCAAGCTATCGATGACCCTGTTATGGTACAATATTGTAATTATAATCCATTGTTTGATAGCATATACGTTGTTATGGCACTGCAATTACCACACATTGTTAACATAATTGAATTTGTGTTACTTTTTTAATATAGTGATTCCATTTAAAAATAACAAAATAGTCATAAGATAAAAGCTTACAAACTTTTATAGTTGAATTTGTAATTTATATTTGAAACTTATTTTTCCACTCATGTAGAAAACAGAACATAATTTCTCTTAAAAACATTTATAAGATAAAAAAAATAAACTTATAGTTTCTAAGAAAAGCATTTATTTTTCCTATGAAATTCGTGAATTTTGTTCCTATTTACTACAATGACCTATATGTATATATGCACATACTATTTGCAATTTCTTTTTTTCACAATGGATTAAACTTTAAAATTTATTAAATATAACGTTTGGTTCATTAAACTTATTAGTCGCAAATATAAATCTGAATTGAAAAACACAAATATCATCTAACCGTTGCATAAAGAATTGTTTTTTTAATTATTAGACACTTGATTTTTCAATATTAATATATTTATTTAATCTTTGTGCTACGATATATGTATATGAAATGAAAATTGCTTATGAAATACAAACCACACGACAGAATTTTAACAAATATAATTATTTAAAAAAAATGTCTTTTTAGAAGTTTGTTAACATTCACTTAATTACAAAATGAAGTTTTATATATTATTAAATTATAACTTAATAATATCAAAATTTAATGTTCAGATAATATCAACTGAAGCATACATTAAACTAAGTTTGCAAACTTTTTTATTAATAATTTTTTTATATGGTCTTATTCAGTTATGGCATACTTGAAACATTTACATGAACTAATTGTACATAAATAATGTCGACAGGTATAAGTTTATTAGAATTATGATAAAAATACAAAAATTGTGTTTTATTTGTAACCTTATTTTTACGGATTAACAACAGAGAAGTTACTATTCGAAAAACGGTAAAATATTACAACACCTTGTGTTGCATTTGACAGAATTATACTTTAATTATTAAAAACAGAATATATACAAAGATAATGAAAAAATCTTTGTAAAATACGAAAGAATGTATAATTTAATGCAAAATTTTTACATTGTATGTAAATATTTGTACATTTTATTGTAAGTAATAATGACAGAAAAATTGTACCACAATACTTCACTAATCATATTTGATTTTGGATAATGACTCCAATATTCAAAAACAGTCATTGAATTATATTTTCATTAATTAAATGCAAATCTCCTGCTCATGTAAAACACTCATACACCACCCACGCGTATTAAACATAAAATAACTTACTCTGTTAAATAAAATACCCAACCATTGTTGACATTTATACAAATAGTTGGCAATAGTATACGTATAACCAGTCTCTTATAATCAAAGAGGAAGTTTATGTACCTGTAATGGCTACTATGTTATACTACATGTATCCATTTTAACTGACCTAACAACTGGTTACCAAACCTGTTGGTATCCATGTTTTAAGGAAGCAAAAACTCCACTTGGTACAGAAACACACAAAGTCATCAGATTCACTTCAATTATATGCACACTTTATAATGTCACTTTGTACATACATTGCACTTAAAGTTCTTAATTTCCCCTTATTCCATTATAAATTCGATTTACAGACTCTTGTTGAAATAATTTTTTAATTTCTGAAATACAAATATAACTTAATATTGTATAATAAAAGAAATATATCAAAATGACTTACCTTCTTTTTGTGTATTCGTAAATTGTACTTCAGGGAATGCAACATCGAATGTGATATATAAAATACCATAGAGATTATTATTTTCATAGTTAGGCATTCCCTCTCCTTTTTTTCGAATACGTGCACCTGGTTTAGTCACTTTGTCTCTTTGAATAGTTACTTTGTGGCCATCCAAATGCTCTATATCCATCTTGAAACCTACTAGAGCATCCTGCATGGATATAGTAATGTTTGTGTATAAATCATCACCAATTCTTTCAAATACAGGATGTGGTTCTGTTCGTATTCTTAGAATTAAATCTCCAGGTTCTCCATCCAAATGTGGTTCTCCTTCTGCTGTAAAGTTAGTCTCTTGACCATCTACCATACCAGGTTCTACTTCAACCTCTAATACTCGTTCTTCAGTAACAAATTTAACATTTGGACATTCTGAACATATTGACTGCTGAGTCATGTGAAACCTTCCATTTCCTAAATGATGAGTAACTATTTCTTTCCTACAATTACATTTTCTAGTTCCTTTTGCTGCTTTCATAACAGGCTTATTTCTTGTTATCTAAGGAAAAAATTAAATAGTTTATAACCATTTGTTGTTTCCATTTCATACAAATACTAAATACCTACCTCTATAAAATTTCCACTATATAATTCTTCTAAAGTAACTGGTAGATCCATTTTTATATTGGAACCTTTAGGGACTTCATTCTGTTGTTGATTTTCTCCACCAAAATAAAATCCAAAATCACCAAAGAAACTTGCAAAAGGATCATTATTATACATCATTCCATCCTTTTTTAAACATTCTTCTCCGCATCTATCATACATCTCTCTCTTTTCATTGTCTGAAAGAACTTCATAAGCTGCGCTCAGGTCTTGAAACTTTTGCGAAGCATTTGGATCATCTTTGTTCTTATCAGGATGTAATTCTTTTGCTAATTTTCTATAAGCTTTCTTTATTGCATGTTGGCTTGCTGTTGATGGTATGCCCAAAATGGCATAAAAGTCTCTCCTGAAATACCATAAATTTTACAAATTATTTATAATTTATTGAAAACTACAAATTGGAAATTTCATGTTTTATATAATGCAATATAAAGGAATATTATTTATTGCCATTTATAAAAATATAAACACTAAATATTTAAGAAAAAGAAAATAAAGTCTACTTCACGGGAATATTTAAACATTTAAAAGTTATACATTTTTTTCTAATTCATTGTTGTGTATTTCAAAATGATGGGTTGGCAAATAGTTTACAGAATAAGAGGTTATAAAAATGAATTGTATAATTATCAATAAATAAGTTTCATGAGAACAAAATAATTTGTTTACTCACCCAGCTACGGCTAATATTACACATATCGTTAAATTTATGAATAAAGACCAAATTAACTTTATTGCTGCCATCCTAGCAGACGTTACAACAAACATTGGAGCTTAGATCGTGGGTGCTCCGGATTGGTGCATCAATTCAATTCATCCGATTTTGATCGACGATGACCGAGTGTTTAGACACGTTTACATGTGAAAATTTCAAATTTTTTTTAATTAAATATCATTAATTACAACTAGAAATATCATAAAAGACGTTTAGAATAAAAAGGGAATAAATGTTATAACATGTTTTAAATACGTTCAAGAATAGAATTAATCATTCCAATAGCACCATTGAAAACTACACTTATATTTCATTTGATGATAAAATCTATCCCCTCTCCTTTTTTGCATCTAGTGAAACAATCATGTGACAACTGATATCATGTATTGGAGTATCAGTTACAGCCCATTACAGCCTCGCGGGAAATGCCGAAAGGGTAGTGAAGGCTGTAATAAGGAAGTTGTTGGTTTAATCATGTCAGTATGTAAATTCCCTCAAGTACTCTTGCAGAAAAGTTCAGTGAAAGAAATCCAATCGAAAATCACATGACAGAAGCGTTAATCAAAAGTATCATTGTAAAAAAAATTAAATACCCATAGGTTATGCTCACTGCTTTATCTGTCAAACATTCCACAAAATGGAGAAACACATGCACTTGTGGAGAGGTGTTGACAAATTGTCATATACTTTTGGAGATAAACCAAATGGCATCATTTGTAGATTGGTTGCAATTAAAGATCACATTTTTGTAGCAACTACCACTAATAATTTATATTATGGTGAGGTATCGGTTTTAGAAAATAGCCCTCCGACATTGGTTTTCAAAAGAGCTCAATTTGAAGTTGTTGACATAGCATCCAATTCGGATTATTTATTTATCGTAGATAATAATGGACATGTATTGAAAGTAAATCCTCAAGATATGAGCTTAGTAGATACAATAGTTCTAAAAGAAGAAGTTAAATGTTGTAGGCATGGGTAAGTTTTGATTTATAGCATGTTTTTTTAAATCGTAGTACTTTACTTTTATTAGATTAATAATTTTTATTTATTTGTTATCTATTAAAACAAACTGTTTTATTGCAGATATAAACAAGAAAATGAAAATATTAAAGTAAAATCGATAGCTGTTAGTGATCAAGCTGCACTCTTTGTGACAGAAAGTGGACAACTTTGGGCTAGCGGAAATCAGTCACAAATAGATATTAATAGTATAGAACCTAAAAGGGTCAGATTTTTTGAAGGTAGGACTGTATCTGCTGTTGCATGTGGTTCTAATTTTAATGTAGTTGCTGTTAGAAAAACAACAAAAGGCATAAAGGATGATACTGATAGTGAAAATGAGTTGGAAGAAGAAGTGTTTGTAAATTCTTGTCCTCAGTGTCTAAATACTGTATTATTAAGTCCTACAAGCTTAACATCATCAGATACTTGTCTAACTGGACTTCATGCACAACAATTTAGTGAAGATCAATCAACCAATTCTATTAGTGCTTTATCAATTACTAGTAAAGAGCAAGATGCTATTTCACCAATAGATGGTGTTAAAAAAGAGCAACATTCTGAAGTAATTGAAAATGGAGAGTTATGTTCTAGTAATCCTGTGGATTCAGACAAAGAAGAAAAAAGGAATGTTATTTTTATAAATACTGAAGCTGCAAGACAATTTTTAACCAGGCAATTATCTTGGGTTTCATCTTATGGAAGTGTGAAAGAAGACATACCCTTGGAAAATGTTGAGAAACCAAGTAGATTAATTAAACAAAATGTATCTAATGTAGCTAATTTAGTATATGAAGGAGTAAAAAATGTAGGTGGTAAAGTAGTTACGTTATCAAGACACATGAGTGGAAGTTCAGATATAAATGAATTCAAAGACGATATTGGTGAACATTTTGATGAACAAGGAGAAGAGTATTTAAAACCTGCTGGTACTAGTTTAGCGCTAAGTTTACGGTGTGAAGAATTTCCTTGGTCATCTAGCACTGGTTCTTCAGAACATGAACTATCTCAACAAGGTTTAAATGAAAGGATTAACACATTAACTCGTGCTGGGAGTAATATCCTATCTACTGAATTATGGACATGGGGCGATGTGCAATATGGACAATTAGGAACTGGAGATATCATAAAACGCTCACGGCCAGTATTAGTAGCAAAACTTAGTAATACTGGACTTAGAAAAATTTCATGTGGTGCATTTCATGTACTTGCCTTGACATTAGATGGAAGAGTTTTTGCTTGGGGAAGAAACAATCATAAGCAAGTGACATTGGAACCAAGTGCACACCAAAGTGCACCTCAATTGTTCACCACTAAATTATGTCTAAATGAGAGAGCTAAAGATATGGCTGCTGGTAGTTTTCACAGTTTAGTCATGATGCACCATGGTCTATATTTTATTGGACAATCTAGGTAAATAGTTTCGTTATGAACATTATAAATAGGAAAGTAGAATAACACAAGTTAATGTTATCTGCTCACTAACATTGTTAATATGGTTTCAGTAAAGCTGGAGAAATGTTTCAACTTAACATTGAAACAAACACGGAATGCAGTCCAAGACAAATTTTTAGTTCAGGAGAATATAGTTGTTGCTCTGTAATAAATGAACCTGAAATAAATGTTTCTGAGGATCTGATAAACGATCAAATCTTCTTGGAAGAGATATTAATCGTTTATAAAAATTTAATTAAACCATTCCAAAAGAAAGGAGGTGCTATGCAAGAATCAAATGTTTACGAGACGTTATGTCGATGTTACACAGAGTTATTAAGTTTCAGTGCCTTGAATGTTATTAGTCTATGGGATTATTTTAATCATATTGGCGAAACATATGAAGTAACAGTTGTTGCCAATGTTGAAGAATATGTTACTGTGTACAGATATTACTTAAATGCAGTATGTGATGTTATTTCTTTGAGTGGATTTACATATATTGCAAAAATAATTGAAGTGCCACAAGTAATAACAAATTTATTTATAGAAAAGTTAAAAAGCAATGAAGTTAAGAAAGTTACTAATGAAATTATTATCACAATGGCATTACAACATCCACTGCATAAATTAAATAGGTAAATATATATAAATATAAATATGTACATAACAGTAGACTATATTAAGTTTTGAAATAGTACAATTTAAAAAAAATTAGTCTTAAAAAATTCAAAATTATCTTTAGCATAATAATTAAAAAACATTGAAATTATTTCAATAAATACTACATACATATGTCACTGAGTTACTATCTTCTTGTATATAATAACAAAAGTTATGTTCTTATGTAGATATAAAAACATGATTTTAAATTTAATAAAGTGCAATGGTACACGAATGGGTGTAGAACGGTTACAGGAAGCTTTAATAAAATGGGAACAAATATGTGATGAACAAGAGAAACGTCAGAAGGAAGCAGAAGCTACCAAAGTATTTTGGGAAAATTCTGGTAAATTAGGAGAATTATTAAGATCTCCTGACAGAAGACTTATTAGAGAATCTCGAACTCATCCTTTGTCAATACTTAATTCTGGACGATTTTCTACGCATTGGTTTGTTTTGTTAACGGATATATTTATTCATGTTACTGGTACTTCTCATACAGTACATCCACTTCAAACATTATGGATAGAGCCTTTACCTGATTCTGAGACAGTACAAGTAAGTTAAATGAAGTAAAAATTTAAGAAGTGTTTGTTAATATCTGTTATATAAAATTTGTACACATATCTTCTAGAATGCTATATCAGTGATAGCTCCAGAAGATACATTTGTGTTATATACTCCAACGCCTTCTGAGCGTAATGAATGGTTATACGCTTTACAAAATGCTATAAAATGTAGTCTACAAAGGGTTATTGGACATATACCTCCAATAGTACGTTCTAGCTCATTTCTTTTCACAAAGCACAGTGTTTTCAAAGATGCAAAGTATACTGGTTCGTAAGTCACTGGTAACAGTATTATATATTCTAAATTTCATGTTATTTTTTGTGTTTTTAACTTATCATAAGATCATGAATCTAAAATGGAAATATCTTTTTCTAATATTTGTACTTTGAAGATCATTTAAGTTATTGAGATTTGTTTGTAATTACTGTAATCATAGTAATCAGTTTTTTGTAATTATAAATTATATAATGTTAATCAGAGAAATAGAGATTGATAAAAAATCTTATGAACATAAAATGACAGATTTTACTTTGTAGGACGATGGTTGAGTGGTAAGCCACATGGTTCTGGAAAATTAGAATGGCCCGATGGACGCATTTATGTAGGACAATTTCATAAAGGTATTATTCATGGTACCGGAAAAATGGAAATTCCATCACAGGGCGTGTATGAAGGACAGTGGAAAGATGGTCAACAGAATGGATACGGAACAATGAAGTCAGTTTTTTAAATACCTACTAGTCTTAAATATTAGATACTATAAATACCTAAATGGTTTTAAATATTAGATTACGTATAATATATGATATTGAAGATAGTATCTAAAATATTCTAGATATAACAATGGAGACTTTTATGAAGGATATTTCAAAGATGGGTTACCTCATGGGCATGGAGTTAAAAAAGAAGGTCATTTTATGGCATCTGTAGCATCTGTATATATTGGAGAATGGGCTGCTGGTGTTAAACAAGGATATGGAATTATGGATGACATCATGACAGGTATAATTTTATAATATATTTAAAAATAAAAATAAAATTAAGTATTTGTTACAACGAATATAAAGATCTATCAATACAATTATAGGAGAAAAATAAGTATTAAATAGCACTTCAATTGTAGGTGAAAAATACTTGGGCTCATGGAGTAATGGTATGAAACATGGTTGTGGTTTAATTGTAACATTAGATGGCATTTATTATGAAGGTGTTTTCATGCAAGACGTTTTAACGGTAAATAATTAAATATTTTCTCAATCTTAATGAATATGAGTTTGAAAAATAAAAGTAAAATATTTTTGAACAAAGGGTCATGGAGTTATGGTATTTGAAGATGGTACTCATTATGAAGGTGAATTTAAATCAGCTGGAATATTTTATGGAAAAGGCATATTAACATTTCGAAGTGGTGATAGATTAGAAGGTAATATGAATGGTGCATGGAATGAAGGAGTCAAAGTTATTGCAACATTACACATGAACAAAGCTAGTGGAAATATACAAACTGATTCAAAACCAATGTAAGTAAATTACCCAACAATCATTGTTTATATTTTGATTAAAATGTTTTCTTAATACAGGTCATTTGGTAAATTGTGTGTATCACCAGATCAGAAATGGAAGGCTATATTTAGACAATGTTATCAGCAACTTGGTGTGCCTGAGTCAAATTCAAAAGTGACTAGTAATAATGAGAAATCAATAGAAACTCAACGTGTTTGGCAAAATGTTGCCAGTATAATAACTAAATCACGTCAAAAATCTTTACAACGAAAAAAGCTTTTAACTGTTGCTTCAATTGGTACAGAAAAAAATAATGAAGGAACTGATGAATTAGACAAAATCCCTTGCTTTGGAAGAGACAAGCTTACTACTCAAAGTTATAATGACGTTCATAAATATTTGGTGAAAGCTTTTGAAAGTCAACACCACCCATTAGGTGCTCTTTTAACAGAAGTTGCTACTGTGTACACAGCTACTTACGGTGGTGTAAGGGTTCATCCTCTGTTACTTAGCCATGCTGTTTCTGAACTTCACAGTATTACTTCAAGAATATATGAAATAGTTACTTTATTATTTCCGGCATTACCACGAGGTGATAAAGAATACATATTGGAGACAGAAGATAGTGAAGAAGGGTATGTCTTAAATATTAATTTTAATTTTTAATGTATGCTGTACTTTTTTAATTCATTTTTTTTTTTAGCCAAGTTATAAGTGCTGCTGCAATACTTCATCCGGTATTATTACCTCGAGTACATTCAGCGCTTTTTGTTCTATATGCTTTACATAATAAAAAAGAAGATGATGCCTATTGGGAAAGATTAATGAAATGGAATAAACAACCGGATATAACATTAATGGCTTTTCTAGATATTGACCAGTTAGTAACGTTGTTAATAATAATAAGTAAAAATTATTAATTTTATTTACAATATTTTGATAAAATTTCAGGAAATTTTGGAAAAATGCAAACGTAATAAATTTAAATGAAAATGGATTACCGTATCAAAGTGAACCATACTTTAGTGAGGCCATAGAAACTTTGCAGCAATTGAAAACTACGTTTTCCCCGTTAGAAAAATTGTTAGTCGTTAGAAATACATTTGAGCAAATGACACAAGTAAGTTAGTACTTTGTTACATATTTCCTTATTTTTTGATTACTTCATTGCATATTATAGGCAGTGCAAAAACAATTGGGTCCTTCATATTTGTGGACAATGGATGAATTGTTTCCGGTTTTCTGTTTTGTTGTTGTACGTGCTAGCGTGCTGCAATTAGGCAGTGAAATCCATTTTATAGAAGACTTCATGGAACCATATTTGCAAAATGGAGAACTTGGCATTATGTTTACTACTCTCAAGGTTAGACGTTGTATCTATTGAACTCCACTTAAGAATAAAAGTTTTTAAATATGTAAACTCTTCTAGGCAAGTTACTATCAAATATTGCAAGAGAAGATTAATGTGGGTGACTGAGTGTATAAAAAAAAACTAAATTTCCGAAAGTACGTAACAAGATACAAGTTTTAATTCATATTATGAGAAAATCTGAAAATAATAAATGAATAATAATTATATAAACATGCATAATACAACAAAAAAGTAACTTAAAACTTCAAATTTAACTGAAGCAGTGTAATGTAATCGAATATTAGACATTATCAAACAAATATTCGTGTATTATGACTATTAAAAGTAATTTAAGATATTTATTGTAATTATGTAAGTTATAATCATAACTATATTAAATTATATTTAACTGCGTATAAAGTCAGATTATAACATCATAAGTAAGTAGTGGAAGTACTTGCATATCAAATTATTCTATGAAAACAATAGTGTACAGTGTATATATGTGTACATTCAAATTAACGGAATATTAATTTATTTCATTATTTTGATATTATTGTAGTATAATATCAATATGATTTTGAGACAGAAAACGTAAACGCTTATTTATTTATTTGCATTGTCTATACATATATTATAAACTAAATATAGGCAAATGTCTATTATTGTAATTTTAAATGTCACCACTTGTTTCATCTGTACTACTTGCTTTCAAACTTAAATGCTTGAATGCACATAACAAATATTAAATTATATAAAAAACAGCATTTTCTGCATCTGTTCACAAATTAGTATGCAATGTTATATAACTCTTCAATTCATCTACTGCCATAAATATTATTTAACAGCATTACAATTCAACACCATATAGATGATGATATAAACAATTGCATTTAATAAATATTAATTAAAAATTGGAAAACATGTAATATAGTTATGTTATAATAACAATATTGTGATATTCTGTGCAATATCATAAAATTAAATGCCATATGAATGTGTATGATTAGAATTTTGTGTTAATATATTGTATGTACAAATTAAATGTCCCCATACTTGTTTTATGTAACTTTCAAGTATATGTACTGGATAAACAAAATTATACACAATGAAATAGTGAATATACTATATTTAATATTAAGCATTGTATTTAATCATTAAACCTTAACTTAAAAACATATCAAATTATTTGTCATAGAAATATATTTTTAAAAGGTAAGAATATAAGTATTGATTAGAAAGGTAAACCTATAAAAGGTTCAAATATTGCTTTTCTTATATGTAATACATATAATGGAAAATTGAAAATAAATTGTTAATTATAAGATATATTAAAATATATAGAATATATTAAAAAATAAAAATTAGACCATTTGTTAGATCTATAGTTACTTCTTACAAACCATATTATCATTTTAAAAAATCTACTTTTTCAGAAAATCATGTAAGTAGATAAAGAAAAACTAAATTAATTATCTATTTTTAAATTAAGTAACTTTAAATAAAATAAAAAATAAATTCCTTTCAACTTTATTCCACTTTATTTACATATTAAAAACTTAATATTAAATCTGAATTACTTCATAAACTTGTTAAATAACACATTTTATGGTAAATAATACCATTTATAAACGATTCAGATTACGTTTAACGCGTCATTGAAATTGTAAATAAAAATTTTTGTATAATTTTTAATTACGTCACAATTGATAAAAATTCATTTAGAAACATGAATGACGTTACCAAAAGTTGAATTACATCATATAAGTGAAACACATACCAGATAATGAAATTGTGATGCTGTGTATCAGATGCTGGTTTACTTACTTTCTTCGAAGTTAAAAGCAATTTTTAAATTTAGAACGTGTTTACTTGTTCATAAATATATAAATTATTTGTAACATGTTTTTGTAAAAACTTTTTAATTTAATAATACAAATCGTGATGCGCAGATTTTAGGTAACAGCATGATCGCGAAGCAAGGTAGCGATTGTATCGTTACACTTCTTTCGTCTAAAACTGTACGTTTAAAAGGAGAATATTTACACAATTACGTTTAAATTTGATTGTCATAAATATGGAAGTAATTAGAAGTGTATGGAAAAAGCCCCTTTTGGTGTATAAAGTCGGATTACGGTCATCTTTTAGAAATAGGTATATGATGAGAACATATAACCTAAATCTTATTTTATATTTCTAGTAATACCTTGTAATACCTGAGATTAATATTAGAATATAGAATATCAATTTTATAATTATACGTTTTGCTACATTTCTGTATTTTATTTTTATTCATAAATACACGAAACTAAAACGAATAAAACTATTATTTCAGTTTAAACTAACATGTCATAAATGTTAATTTACCGGTATTTTATTATTTTCGTAGTAGATTATTAATTGACTGTACCATAAGATAATGCATCATCTTAATTTTTATGAAAAAATTATTTGTTTTCTAATTCGATTCTTGGTATGTAAAGTTAATTATAATTCAAGAAATAGATGTTGCTTCATATTATACATAAAAAAGGTACAAGAAATTTATAAATTTGTTATTACAATTTTCAAAGAAATTTGTATATAGTAAAATAAGTTTTAAATTATTTTTATACTTAACAAATTACGTATTATCTTAAGTTGAATTAATAAATTATTCAATGTTATAAAAAATTAATCTATCGCTTTGAATTTATAATATTTTATATTGCTTTTACTTATGTCTATATAATGTATTTTACAGTAACAGCAGTAGTTCAGCACCAAAGGTAACAAAAAGGGTAGATGTTTCCATTAAAGATGACGATTTACAGATACCAAATGCAGAAATAGATTTCAGTTCACAAAATGATACAACATTTAATGCTCTTGTTTCTACTGAAGAGTTATTAGCGCAGATAGGACTGGCAAGAGAATTTGCAACTGATAGCAAAGTTGAACACCCTTATGTTGATAAGTTAAAAAGGATACAGATGATCTTATTTGATTTGAGTCATGCTATATCAAAATCAATACCTGGGAAATGCAAATCATTTGAAAGTAAACACATTAGTGATTTGGAAGAATGGATAGCAGAGTATGCAAATCAATTACCTCCTCAAGAAACTTACATTATTCCGGTAAAAATAAATTACATCTACTTTCTATTTTATTAAATAATTTATCTTTATTTGATTCTATGTATTCGTATTAGGGTGGTGGCAAAGCTTGTTCCACACTGCATTCAGCTAAAGCAATATGTAGACGCGTAGAGAGAAATGTTGCAACTTTGGTTCAAGATGGTTCAGTAAATAAAGAAGCACAAATATATTTAAATAAATTACAAAACTTCCTATTAACAACATCGCGAATTGCAGCCAAATGTGATCAACGTACAGAAAACATATATATTCCTAGAGGAGAAGTTGAAAAAAACGAAACAAATTAAAATATAAGCTGTGTCAGAAGAATCCATAGAATGCCATTTTTCAATATCTTTTTTAGATAAACGCTAGCATTTGCAAACAGCCAAAAACTGTATGGAGAAATTCTACAGTAATATCTATGTATATTGTTATGCTTTGAAAATATAAACATGTTGTAAATATTTTTTAATCAAGTTATGCATCAATTATTGATTGTATTGTATTATTTGTATTAAAAATGTACATAGTAATTACAGACCATATTAAGTAATTCAAAGTTTCTAATAAAGTATAATGATAAGATATGATCTTAAAATACAACAGATATATCTTGTTCTTTGAGGTATTGTTATGTGGAACGATTATAATTAAAAGAATGTTTAGTTACTTTTGGTAAATAATTATACATAATTTAACTAAATTTCTTTTGATGATTTATTAAATAACATACCTAAACATGTTATAAATAATTTACAGTTATACTGCTTATGCATATGGTAACAATTCGTTAAATAGAAATTCAACATTTTGTACCGAATGTATGATAGAAAAATATTTATGAAAGAAATATTGTTGTAAATAAATGTGTAGCCTTCAACATGGCAGTAAAACGCAGAAAAGCTGATGTATTAAATTGTATTAAATGACTGCAAAATTATAATGATTAAAATAACATTCAGTTCAAATCATTATTTATTCTAAAACTTCATCGCCTTCAACAACTTCCTTTAAATTAAGTAATTCCAATAGTCCAGACCCTTTTGTTTCAGATCTAACTAATTCACTTATTTCTCTATAATGACCAGGATCAATTAAACAAATTAAATCTAAGGTTCCATTATCCCATTCTTCTGTTTCTATCTTTGTTATTAATTTAATTATTTTATCCCTTAATTTTTTGGCCTCTTTGCCTGAAACCAAGACTCTGAGCCTCATCTGAGCTCTTTCTAATGGCATTATAGCTTTTAGTTGTGGAATTACATCTAATGCTTGTTGTTTTGCATTTCGATTGGGCTTTACAGAAAAATGCACATCTTTCATAGCTTTCTCTATCATAGTTACTGGATATGGACGTTTAGTTTCTGGATTAACACATTTATCGGCAACAGTTGTTGCAATGTCTTTGAACATCGAATCTAATGCAGAATGTCTTTCCTTATCAGAAACTTGGAGTTCGCCTTTTGTTAAGATCTCCTTACAAATTTCTGTTGGATTGTCTGTACCAAAAGCTTTTACGAGATCTTCTTTCTTTGCTACCTGACCTTTTGAAACATTTATAAATACTGTGTGTGTCTGTAAGACTTCATCAATATCTTTTTCTCTGAAATGTAATATCGTCATCACAATTATTAAATAATTTTAGAATCGTATTGGTCATAAAAAGAGATTGAAATGTCTTTTTGACAGAATACGTCAAGAAGACAAAATAAAATTTGTAGGTTATGTGTTGAAACGACATTTATTAAGTAATATACGTTGTCATTTTGATGGACTGTCAAAGACTTACAGTTTATTCCTCCATGAAACTACTTTGTTCCTATAACAAGCAATCTCAAATCGTTTTCCTGCTTTTTTCATACGAACTACTGCAACGTTGGTTAATCTTATTTGATTCGTTGGTGTGAAAATTTTCGACATTTTTAATAGTAAATGTACTTATAACACTAATATTTTTTTAAGAAAATATAATATGCACTTCGCAAAATTACGCACAATTGTTGTAAAATTTATACTGTATATCTTACATATTTTTATAAGTCGAAAGCACAGAGTTGCGAACGATTTCGAACTCTCGATTTATAATCGAATCGCTGAAACATCCATCTTCCTTTGTATTATCGATAAATTTTGAATATTTCGTGGCTTTTTTATGTATTTAGATTTTCTTTTACTGCAATTGTCTTTTAAATTATCTGTTTCAGTTAATTTCTTCACATAGAATGTTTAAAAATAGAATAAAATGTAGAAATCAAAAAACAAAATAATTTATAAACAAATACAAATATATTTAATCGCATATGCTTGATTTATATTTATGCGATCATCGATTTCAGTTACAATCGATGTAACAATTATATTTATATACAAACATATACCATTTATAGTTACGTAATCATTTTTAATTAAAAAAAAATTATAAATTTAAAGCCATAAATATATCTCCCTAAATAGTTTTTATTTTAATTGTACCAATAATAAAACACGTTACATTTATTCAAAGTTATGCGATTTTTTTATAATGTAATAAAATTTGACATATTTGATACATTAAATTCATAGCCAAAAATAACTTTTTTCGGATAATTACAATAATACACAACTAAAACTTTATAATTAATTATTTCAATTACATTTCGCAAATTTAAAAAATTAACGCGGGAAAAAGTATAGTAATGACGTCATTGTACGATAAGCAGAATCGCGGTATGCGCACGCCGTGGTTATGCACATGCGCAGATTGCCCGCTACGTTAGACTGTATCGAACATGGCGGCGGCGAGCGTGATGCCGTTAGAAGTGCGTGAAAAATGATCGTTTTTTCGTGGTTCAAACGATCCGATTGTTTTTACGCGTGTGGATAGTGACAGTGAGTGTTACCTTCAACATTTTAACAACGTGGGAGATCCTTATCATGGCATTGGTCACCGTACAGCGGTCTCCAAGTGTGTCTAATTCCCCGCAGAGTTCGGTGAGTTTTCTTGCTTTGTGTCGCTTTGTCGATACCTACTGTCAATTGTAGTTAGAAACGCGTTATTTTAAAATTCACTTTTGACACCGTGTCCATTACCGTAGTTGAGACATATTGTAAACAACTGGACAATGTTCATATAGTCATTTCGTATTTGGTGTATTGACAGTCAATCGAGAAAGGCAATCGTGAAAATTCAAAATTCCCTGTACCGTGTGACAGTGAATGAATCAAACTCGTGGCCGCGAATTTTCCGTGACCATAGTAAACAAAGATTCGTGTTGACATTTCTCTGTCACGATAGTAAAATATAACTCGTAGGGCGCACGCGGTTAATCATTAGTCGTTCTTTATCTAATCCATTTAAAAGTATTTTTTATATTATCGTTTATCTCTTGCAGAAAGATAATTCAGGTTATTTATTATACGAGATGATTTATTATATGCATGAGTTGTTACGATGACTATTATCTTTCACTTTGCATGGTTCTGTAGGCGCGATCGCGTATGTAGGATGAATCGTTGATAAAAGATATTAAATAGAATCGTATACACCGTTCTTTCGAACTAAACGCTTTCTCCGTGAATTTTTTTCCATTCATAATTCGCAAAATCATCTGAATTCCTCACGGAAATTGATCGTTCCGTTTTTACAGTTTTGCTAAAAGCGAATAAATTATGATCAGGTGACAGGAAACGGAATATGTAATGATCACAGTAATAGGGAAAGAGTGAACGAATTTTCGCGTTTTTTCTGGTAAATTTGCCAACGCTCGAAAGCGTGGTGGCGGTGTTACCGATTGTTTGTGCACACGTTGCGTGCATTGGACTCGGTGACGTCGCGATGTTGTTAACCACACTCGGTTCGCGCTCTTCGATGAAAGAAGAGAGTTGAAAAAGAGAGCGAAAGGAACACGTGGTTTCCAGCGTAGCTGTAGTTCTGTGAACGAGTGCTGTGACTAGTATGTACATACTTATGTTTTCTCCGATCGGTCGAATGATTTTACTAAAGACATTGCTTCCAAATTGTTCACAATTTTCGTTTACTGCGATAGGTGGCCAAAGCCGCGAGAAATTTAAACTTTAAATAGGTGATCAGTTGTAAATAAATTGTTGAAATTCTAATAGAAATAAACTAATTCTGAATTTTCATAGAGCTTCACCAATGTTATTATGTATATTATATTGACATGTATACATATTTGTAAACACCCATGTATCTTTAGATTTCTAAATCATTAGATTTCTAGATTTCTAAATCCCTATATTTCTAAATATGTAGATCTTTATATTCATACGTATACTATCCGTACATAGGATTTAAAGAGAACATTTTAGAGATTTTTAAATGAATTTAAAAATGATTTTCAGTACTTAGCAATTTTTGGTTATTTACAAATTTGAAGATTTGTAGAAAATTTGGGTATTCACTACTTCGGTCAATTACGACACTGTTCATCTTATCGATATATCGATAACAATATGGCGACCATATTTATCGATAATGATGTCGATAATGCCACTGCTTGTTTCTAAGGACGATATTGTACGACTGATACATATGCAATATAACTAGTATTTTTTTATATGCAATATATGCAATATAAGCAAATAAAATATTTTTACTAATTCAATGACTCGATCGATCGGTGTTCTTACACCAGTCAGAAAACACCCTGTACGTAATAATACTTTATTCATGTGAAAAAAGAGATTGCAAGTGGTGTTTCTTGCGCATCAAAGCCAGTTTATCCAGATATGGAGTTCATCCGCGCCCTAGCATTCTCCACATGGCAAAGAAGCAACGCGCCAAGCCTTCTTTGCTTACAAACTTGATCAACTGAAACAAGCGTCAACCTTGGAAATTATCGGTTTTTCTTCCCCCCTCGTGGCCTTTTTACTTGCAGACGCCAGATCTCGAGAATTGATACGATTCTTATGGAGTTAGAAATTCGATTTTGGACATTTTAAAATTTGGAATTTTGGAAATCGGAGAATTGGAAATTTAAAAATTTGAAAATGTGGGAATTTGGAGATTTGAGAATTGAAAATTTAGAAATTTGAAAATATTGGAATTGGAGATTTGAGAATTGAAAATTTAGAAATTTGAAAATGTGGGAATTTGTGATTTGTAAATTGAAAATTTGGGAACTTAAAAATCTGGGAATTTAAATACTTTGAAATTCTTGCAAAACTGAAAACTGAAAACTGAATTTTTTGTGAACTGATTTTGAAACAAAAATTTGTAGATTTAGAAATTTTTCAAAATTTGTAACCCTCAAATTTTTGGAAATACAGAGATTTGTGGAAAATTTGGAGATTTTGAAATTTCAAAATGTAGAGTTTGAGATTTAGAAATTTAGAATTTGACAAATTTCAAAATTTTGGAAATTAATTCATTTAATTCATTTATGAATTAATTCATTTAATTCATTTATGAATTAATTTAAGTCCTTAAAAACTGAGGAAAATAGAAATAAAAACTTTCAGGAATGTCGCAATTTACAAATTTGAAAATTTGATAACTTCAAAATATGGAAATTTGAAAACTTGAAAGTTTGAGAATTTTTCAAATTCGAGAATTCGAAAATATAATTGACGTTGTATTGGACACATTTTGCGCTGGTTATGAATCGTGATTGATAAAGAACCATTTGTATTTTCCATTGTTTTCCCAATGCGTTCATCGTCGCGCAATATGTCTTGTAATAATTATCAGTTGTTTTCAATAACATATTTTATGTGTCTTGTAGTAGCTGCTCATTCCATCATACAGCACATCTGTTTTTTAATATTTAGTATTCATTCCATGTGCTTCATAAATTGTCTATTGCATTTTAATCGATAACGCACCAAGCGTGTCCTGAAATAATTTATTTCATGTAAGCGAAGACGCACCAGGTGTGTCCTACAGTGCTTAATATAATTAGTTACATACTGAGTTCTGCAGGAATACGCATTATACATTGTAACACACGTTACATTATTTTGTAGCTGACGATGCGTCTCACAACGTTACTTACGATTCACCTGCGACAAATCTTGCTTGAATATTTAATACATTCAAATTTGAAGTTCAAGAGCAATTATAATTTGTATAAGGTGAAGTGGGGTAAGTGCAGACTGGTTTTTGTAAAGTTGGTATTTAAACATGAGTATTTTCAGTCTGCTATGTAAATACTTAACGCTGTCGATATCGAACGCTTTGCACAATTACTACTATTTAATTAATATTAACTAGCACCTTAATTTTCCTCGTACATTTTGATTTTGATAGAAAATTGTTTAAAATGTCGACAACTCTGCACTTTCCCCGAAAATGGGGTAAGAGCGTAACTTGAAATTAAATACTGTGAAACTTTATTTCATGTGCAATGGGGCAAGAGCGGAATTATTAAGAAATCTGCTATAAAATGCTTTTTACTGCATTATGCAAGTACTCTATACTGCAGACAAGTACTCTTAGCTGAAATATAAAAGGGGATATAGCGAAACAAAACAAGGAAGCATACAAAACAAAACAAACATACTAAATGGAGAAATTTCGCTCATATTGTAATAAAAATAGCCTGTATACGCACTTGTCCCGTTTACGAACTTACCCCACTTCACCTTAGTTAAAGACCGTTGAATATAAAATAGTCACAACATTTTGACTTTCTTTAATGATTTTAATACTATTGTAGTTAATAGTTATTTCTGACTGACGCACCTGACAAACTAATCATACGGCAAGGAGTTAATGGTATATCCATGTACTATTTATTCTTGTAACCTACATATCGTATGTGTTACATCCTATTTAATTTAATTGACGCACGATGTGCATTGTAGGTACAATTTTGCACCGTCGATCGTGATCAATAACACACTATGTTCGTTTCATAATGAAATTGATATTATCAGTCGGTACTTAAAAGGTTGTCAGCGAGATAAGACCGCATAAAGCTCATACGATAAAAAAAGGTGTGCACAGATTAAAACTACTATTTTCCTTATTGATATCAAACAGTACGAGTAATTCATATATGCTTTAAAGGTAAACCGAAAAACGGCAGAATGGAAATCCAGATTGAGGGATTTTGAAATGTAGGAATTTGGGGATCTATGTATTT